TTTTGTCCAAGAATAAGAAACTGCATCTTTAAAAAAAAAAATTCTAGACTCCCTATAAACACGTTCCCTTCTGTTAAGACTAACTCTAGTGTCCAATGTCAGTGTGTATAAATTATATAAAAATTCTTACCAAATTAGAGATGACTTGGGGTTTCTGAGTTTACTCAAATATGTGCTGTGAGTAATAAACATAATTTAATATTATGCTGCAGAGACAGAATTGTCTCTTTACAGACAATACCACAGACATTAAACAAATAACAAAAATACTGTGAGATTTTTCTAGCGTTTTAGGCAATACACAGATCATTAGAGTTGATATAAACAATGTTTTTAGTCATGGAAGGTGGATTAAGGGGATGGGGTTAGGGCTTTTTTTTCCCTTCTGTTTTATTTTTCTTTTAAAATTATTTTCTCTTTTTATAGTTATTGCTTTTATAATGAAAAATATTACATGTGATTTAAAAAGAAATGACCTAGCCACTTGGTGGCAGTATGCCGTGAAGAATATAGTCTACATGGCTTCATTTTAGTCCCATGCTTAAAAATTTTTATCATTGACCCCATTTCTTCTCTGACAATTTTGCTTATAAATTGTCTTACTTCAGATACATGATTCTTTATGAAATTACCTTCTCACAACTAATCACCTCTTTTAAAAAGCTTCATTAATCTAACCTGGTCAATTTGAAATTATGATAACAAAAGACTCTAAAGGATATTATTTTTCTTCTCTATTAGGGCTAATAAAGCCCTAGTCAGATATGAAAATTATTTTTATGTGATGCAAATTAATAACTGATGTTCAATTGCCAAATAACCACCTGTAGTTTATGCAACAGAATTATATTAACCTGTGTTTAAAGGCTAACAACACTATATATTATTTTTTTTTATTTTAAAGTATTCTTTTATTAATTTATTAAAAATGAATCTATCTATTATGTGTTCAAATCAATAATGTTTTTCCAGGAAAATAATCTTGTTTTCTTTTTTTTTTTTTTTTTTTACATGTATTCCCCATCCCGGTCCCCCCTCCCACCTCCCTCTCCACCCAATCCCTCTGGGTCTTCCCAGTGCACCAGGCCCGAGCACTTGTCTCATGCACCCAACCTGGGCTGGTGAACTGTTTCACCCTAGATAATATACGTGTTTCAATGCTGTTCTCTTGAAACATCCCACCCTCGCCTTCTCCCAGAGTCCACAAGTCTGTTCTATACATAGGAGTCTCTTTTTCTGTTTTGCACATAGGGTTATCGTTACCATCTTTCTAAATTCCATATATATGTGTTAGTATACTGTAATGGTCTTTATCTTTCTGGCTTACTTCGCTCTGTATAATGGGCTCCAGTTTCATCCATCTCATTAGAACTGATTCAAATGAATTCTTTTTAATGGCTGAGTAATATTCCATGGTGTATATGTACCACAGCTTCCTCATCCATTCATCTGCTGATGGGCATCTAGGTTGCTTCCATGTCCTGGCTATTATAAACAGTGCTGCGATGAACATTGGGGTGCACGTGTCTCTTTCAGATCTGGTTTCCTCGGTGTGTATGCCCAGAAGTGGGATTGCTGGGTCATATGGCAGTTCTATTTCCAGCTTTTTAAGAAATCTCCACACTGTTTTCCATAGTGGCTGTACTAATTTGCATTCCCACCAACAGTGTAAGAGGGTTCCCTTTTCTCCACACCCTCTCCAGCATTTATTGCTTGTAGACTTTTGGATAGCAGCTATCCTGACTGGTGTGTAGTGGTACCTCATTGTGGTTTTGATTTGCATTTCTCTGATAATGAGTGATGTTGAGCATCTTTTCATGTGTTTGTTAGCCATCTGTATGTCTTCCTTGGAGAAATGTCTGTTCAGTTCTTTGGCCCATTTTTTGATTGGGTCATTTATTTTTCTGGAGTTGAGCTGGAGGAGTTGCTTGTATATTTTTGAGATTAATCCTTTGTCTGTTGCTTCGTTTGCTATTATTTTCTCCCAATCTGAGGGCTGTCTTTTCACCTTGCTTATAGTTTCCTTTGTTGTGCAAAAGCTTTTAAGTTTCATTAGGTCCCATTTGTTTATTTTTGCTTTTATTTCTAAAATTCTGGGATGTGGGTCATAGAGGATCCTGCTGTGATTTATGTCGGAGAGTGTTTTGCCTATGTTCTCCTCTAGGAGTTTTATAGTTTCTGGTCTTACATTTAGATCTTTAATCCATCTTGAGTTTATTTTTGTGTATGGTGTTATATATTATTTTTAAATAAAATACTAATTCAAAAATAATAAAAGTGAGAACAAAATAATCCAGCAACATATGCTATAAACCTAAGATTCTGTCAAACTGACAGTTGTATTACATTTTAATGTAATATTTTTCTTAAAATTAGATGGATAATCTTGGCTGTTGGCTACTGGTGATGGAATCACACACTTGGGGAAAAAAGAGACTTACAGAAACACTGAGGAGCCCGGAAGCGTTTCTGATTTGTCACAATTCAGAGTAGGGCTTCCCAAGTGGCACTAGTGGTAAAGAACCCGCCTGCTGATGCAGGAGACATAAAAAGATGATAGTTCGATCCTTGGGTTGGCAAGATCACCTGGAGGAGGACGCGTCAATCTACTCCAGTATTCTTGCCTGGAGAATCCAGTGGACAGAGGAGCCTGGCGGCTACAGTCCATAGGGTCACACAGAGTCAGACACGACGGAAGCAACTGAGCATACAGCATGCACAGTTCAGAGTGAAACATTTCCCTCTTGCTGTGGAGAAGCAAGATAAAAACACAAGGAAGAACTTTTGGCTTTCCTGATGTTTTCATCTCCTAAAATTCCCTACCCATGGTTCTTAGAAGACTCCTCTTCAGTTGAGCCTGTTTGCAACCAGATGAGCCTTTTATAATCATTTCCAAAGACCCATAGGGACATTTTTTATTGGAACTCTGTGATATTTTTGTCAAAGAGAGTTGCCCCAGACACAAAGCTTGTTATAAAAACCTGTTATATCCCTGTAGCAGTTAAGGCATCTCAAGTTGTGATCTCTCCCTGACCCCCACTGTAATTCTTTTAAAAGAAGAATTTGAACACTAAAATCAGAATGACTGAATACACAGGGTTTGAGACCCTCTTGGGGATTCAGAGCTTAGAACCACTTTCAGGAACATCTTCCATCAGCTGGGAGAATCGTGTCCTTGAAATCACCTCAGGCAGCTTTTAATTATCAGGAGGGAGGAGGTGGGTGAGGAAGTTCCAGGACTCTTGAGTTCAGACTGAAAATGAGTTAGCTATCAAGGAAGCTAGATGACCCCACCCTGGTCAGAAGCTTTCATTAGCAGTGTTCTGAGAGCCTTTATGAGTAGACAGGGCTGGCCAGGATCCTTGCCACCAGGGGAGGAGCAGAGGGAAGTCATTAATAGCATTCCACCCTTATGTTATAACCTCAAAGTGTCTGCTAATCAAAACTGGGCTTCTTTTTTTTTCCCATTTATTTTTATTAGTTGGAGGCTAATTACTTTACAATATTGTAGTGGTTTTTGTCATACATTGACATGAATCAGCCATGGATTTATATGTGTTCCCCTTCCCGATCCCCCCTCCCGCCTCCCTCTCCATCCCATCCCTCTGGGTCTTCCCAGTGCACCAGCCCTGAGCACTTGTCTCATGCATCCAACCTGGGCTGGTGATCTGTTTCACCCTTGATAGTATACTTGTTTCAATGCTATTCTCTCAGAACATCCCACCCTCACCTTCTCCCACAGAGTCTAAAAGTCTGTTCTGTACATCTGTGTCTCTTTCTCTGTTTTGCATATAGGGTTAGCGTTACCATATTTTAAAATTCCATATATATGCATTAGTATACTGTATTGGTCTTTGTCTTTCTGGCTTACTTCACTCTGTATAATGGGCTCCAGTTTCATCCATCTCATTAGAACTGATTCAAATGAATTCTTTTTAATGGCTGAGTAATATTCCATGGTGTATATGTACCACAGCTTCCTTATCCATTCATCTGCTGATGGGCATCTAGGTTGCTTCCATGTCCTGGCTATTATAAACAGTGCTGCGATGAACATTGGGGTGCACGTGTCTCTTTCAGATCTGGTTTCCTCGGTGTGTATGCCCAGGAGTGGGATTGCTGGGTCATATGGTAGTTCTATTTCCAGTTTTTTAAGAAATCTCCACACTGTTCTCCATAGTGGCTGTACTAGTTTGCATTCCCACCAACAGTGTAAGAGGGTTCCCTTTTCTCCACACCCTCTCCAGCATTTATTGCTTGTAGACTTTTGGATAGCAGCTATCCTGACTGGAGTGTAATGGTACCTCATTGTGGTTTTGATTTGCATTTCTCTGATTATGGGTGATGTTGAGCATCTTTTCATGTGTTTGTTAGCAATCTGTATGTCTTCTTTGGAGAAATGTCTGTTTAGATCTTTGGCGCATTTTTTGATTGGGTCATTTATTTTTCTGGAATTGAGCTGCAGGAGTTGCTTGTATGTTTTTGCGATTAATCCTTTGTCTGTTTCTTCATTTGCTATTGTTAAAACTGGGCTTCTTATATGGAGCCAAGATGCTGTTTGCCAACAGCATCTTGAAGATTATGCAAGGCAAAAGTGTCACATCTTGGAGGTGCTTAAGGAAACCTAAACCTTATTGCATCACCTATTGGAAGGAATCAGGTATAGACCGGTTGTGCGTTTTCTTCTGGCTCAGTGAATGAAATAAAGCTCCTTGGTATTTGTTGCCTAGAAGTCTCATGAAATGAGTGGACACATCTTGAAATCTTACAAACTCCAGGTAGTTTTTATCATCCTTTGAATGTTTCCTCCTTTGGGATTTATCCAATTTAATAAAAGGAAGAAAAGATACACACACTAGAAGGATTTTACTCCATCTTTCCAGTCTATTAAAGTTACTGGTTTACTTTATTCATCTCCAAACATGTAAAGACACTCTCAGGAAACTGGGTAACCTGAGTGCGAAGAATGAAAAGCTGACACTATTTTCTTTTTGTTTAAGGTCCTCATGTCACAATGAAATCATTCCAACATGATACTCAGAATTCTGGACTTCTAATTGCTTCCATCTTTAAAAAACACCTTACTTCTGGTAAGATATGCCACATGATTTACATAGGAAAATAACCAACAAAAATATGCTTAAAATTGAATTTAAGGAGTGTTTTAAGTAGATTCTGCGAGCGTTTGCTCTGGGTTAGAAACATGTTCATTTCAATTGGTGCTGGGCCTCAAGACCTCAAAAATTCTTCCTAAAAAATATCATTATTTAAGTGTTTACCTTGTGCTAAAAGTTTCATGTACTTCATCTTTTTCAATCTTCAAAATAACTTCTTGAGCTAAGCGTTGAATCTGTTTTACAGATGGGAAAACTGGAACTCAGAGACACTGAGGAACTTGTTTGGACTAAAATTCAAATCTGATTTTTCAAATCCTGAAGTCTATTGTGCTCCTTCTCTTACACAAACCAGCTTCCATTTTATTTGTTAGTATGACTAGGTATTTTCCATTGATAAGCAAACCAAAATGTTTTAGGCATAAAAAGATATGAGATCAGGTTGTGTAGTATTTATGTCCTTGCATAGAAATCTGGCAGGTATAGTATAAAAACTTTTGCAGGTGATATTGATATTCTTTGGACTTTTGTTTATTTATTCAAAAATATTCTGTGTCGCCAGGCACCTATTCTATGTACCAGTCACTATTTTGAGTACTGGAGAATCAGCAGTGAAAAAGACGAACAAAGCCCCTGTTATCATGAAGTTTCTTTTCTAGATAGATGAATGTGTGTTGGGGGGAGGTAGACAACAAACAAAACAAGAAAAATAAGGTGGTAGTAAGCGTTATAAAGATGAAGCAATGTAAGGGTACTCTAAATTTTGTATTATGTGAATCAATTATGAGCCGAGAGCTTAGGTTCAGTAAATATCCCTAATTACAGATGCCTACACAAATCAGCGGAGAAGGCAATGGCACCTCACTCTAGTACTCTTGCCTGGAAAATCCCATGGACGGAGGAGCCTGGTAGGCTGCAGTCCATGGGGTCGCTAAGGGTCAGACACGACTGAGCGACTTCACTTTCATTTTTCACTTTCATGCATTGGAGAAGGAAATGGCAATCCACTCCAGTATTCTTGCCTGGAGAATCCCAGGGATGGGGGAGCCTGGTGGGCTGCCATCTATGGGGTCGCACAGAGTAGGACACGACTGACATGACTTAGCAGTGACTTAGCACACAGATCAGCACCTTGATATTGCTGTGGGAACTGTGGAGGCTAGGCACTCATGGCTGCTCTATTAGGTAGATATCATTTTATAGAAGAGGAAACTTGAGCTTTGGCAAGTTCATTATTATGCTCTGAGGTTACAGAGCTGATAAATGGCAGCATCTAATTGAAACCCAGGTGTCTCGGCTTGTAAGTTTGGTCACTCTGCTCTACTCCTCACACCCCTTTATCTGATCCATGTTAACTTAGGGACTCTCCAGCATCTTCTAGGCTCTAATATCTGTCAGTCAGTCCTCCCATTGGTGGCTTGAAATTCTCAGCAATAGTATTTCAGTCCTAGGAAAACACTAACCCCATACCCCACAGGGACTAGGAGTGAACTAAGCCACATTGACCCCAGCCCACCAGCTGGGTTTAGCAGAGGGGCTGGACAGCCTGGAGACCCCCAGACAGACCTGAAAACAGCTAGGGTAGGGCCAATTCAGTGCCTGTCATGTAGTAAGTATCTGATAAACATTTGTCACAGGGAGGAAGGAAGATGGAAGGAGGCAATACATAGCATGGCTTAGATACAACTCCTATGTGACAAATCATGTCTCAATTACAGTCTACATTTGAAAAGAGAAGATAGGGTTTTTCATGTACTAGGGATAAAATGCGGAGAAGGCAATGGCAACCCACTCTTATACTCTTGTCTGGAAAATCCCATGGATGGAGGAGCCTGGTGGGCTGCAGTCCATGGGGTCGCTAAGAGTTGGACATGACTGAGCGACTTCACTTTCACTTTTCACTTTCATGCATTGGAGAAGGAAATGGCAACCCACTCCAGTGTTCCTGCCTAGAGAATCCCAGGGATGGCGGAGCCTGGTGGGCTGCCGTCTATGGGGTCGCACAGGGTCGGACATGACTGAAGTGACTTAGCAGCAGAAGCAGGGAGAAAATGTGATGAGCCTGGCAGGTAACACATGTTGAATATACTATTTATTTAAAGATTTCAGGTGATTACTTCTACTTCAAAATTCAAAAGAAGCATTGTTTCTAAAATAAAATATCAGTGCAAAATATATGACAATTTGAATTTCGCTCTTATATATTGTTCTAAGTAGAGTGCCCTTTTTCAGCAGGAAGAAATTTATGAACAGTAAATTTTGAAGAATGGTGACAAACTATACATAACTTCTGTCTTGTACAAAAGGTTAAACAAACCAAAAAGAAAACCTCAGTTGTGATTGTGGCCAGCTTTAGCCTCTGTCACAAGCAATTGGGAATTCTCACTTGTGTCAGACAAACCAAATGAGGTTCATCACTACACTTTTTTTAATATAAAATATGCAAGCACAAACTCATAAAAAATGTCTAACACTGACCACATTTGCCAGAGACTCAATTCTGGAAACCCACTGGCCTCAGATCCATGCAACCCAATCTTCTCAAACAAAAGACATTGTTGTGCAGTTTGGAATGGCAGTCACTTTACAGCCCAAGGTAAAGGTTAATTTTATTTCTTCTTCCTGTTTCCTTTGAGATCAATGACCTTCACTTGGAGCAGAATAGAGAGAACAGTGATTCTGGTATCACATGTTATTATTCAGTCATGTCTGACTCTTTGTGACCTCACGGACTGCAGCATGCCAGGCCTCCCTGTCCCTCACCATCTCCAGGAGTCTGCTCAAACTCATGTCCATTGAGTCAATGATGTCATCCAACCATCTTATCTTCTGTCGCCCCCTTCTCCTCCTGCCTTCAATCTTTCCTAGCATCAGGGTCTTTTCCAATGAGTCGGTTCTTCACATCAGGTAGCCAAGATGGAAATTATAGCTAAAATTATTTTTCTTTCCTTTCAGACAACAGGAAACAAGACATTGGACTTTTATTGGGAATGGTCTTCTTTGCTGTTATGCTGTCAGTTCTATCTTTGATTGGGATATTTAACAGATCACTTCGAACTGGGTAGGTTTTTGTTGAATTTGTTTTCTCATTTAGACCATATATTTGTATTATCAAAATGTAGTCAACTATGTGATTTATTTTAAAAATTCATCAACACTTTTCCTGAGAGAAAGGCAAAACAAAAGGAACAGTATTTAATGAGTATGCATCCATGCCAAAAAGTGAAAGTGAAAGTCACTCCATTGTGTCCAACTCTTTGGGACCGCATGGACTATAGATTCCATGGAATTCTCCAGGCCAGAATAGTGGAGCGGGTAGCCTTTCCCTTCTTCAGGGATCTTCCCAACTCAGGGATCAAATACAGGTCTTCTGCATTGCAGGCATGTTCTTTACCAGCTGAGCCACAAAAGAAGCCTGAGAATACTGGAGTGGATAGCCTATCCCTTTTCCAGGGGATCTTCCCCATCCAGGAATCAGACTAGGGTCTCCTGCTTTGCAGGTGGATTCTTTACCAACTGAGCATCAGGGAATCTATTCATGCCAAACTCTTTACAAATGTCATTCATTTAATCCTTGCAATGACGCTGCCAGAAAAGCTGAGTGACTTAGATGACTTAGATGAGGTGTAGAGAGGGTAAGTGTGCTCAAACCAAGGCCACCAAACACTAAGCCAGGAGTCCAGAGGCAGCTGACATCTCAGCTCATGTTCTCTCTCTCCCTATGCTATCTTCTCAATGTGCCTCAAGTCTGTCTATTGTGCCTGGATTCTTCACAGTAGTTAATCTGTAACCTGCTTCAAGTTCTACCCAAATAAACCCCCTGAATCACTCTGAAGAGAAGTGTGGCAGTGTCTGAATCCATCACTTTGATACCAATTGTGTTAGTGTTTTAGCAGCCCCATTGCCCATTCTCCTTCAGTTCAGTTCAGTTGCTCAGTCGTGTCTCACTCTTTGTAACCCCATGGACTGCAGCACGCCAGGCCTCCGTGTCCATCACCAACTCCCAGAGTTTACTCAAACTCATGTCCACTGAGTCAGTGATGCCATCCAACCATCTCATCCTTTGTCATCCCCTTGTCTTCCTACCTTCAATCTTCCCCAGCATCAGGGTCTTTTCAAGTGAGCCAGCTCTTCCCATCAGGTGGCCAAAGTACTGGAGTTTCAGCTTCAACATCAGACCTTCCAATGAACATTCAGGACTGGTTTCCTTTAGGATGGACTGGTTGGATCTCCTTGCAGTCCAAGGGACTCTCAAGAGTTTTCTCCAACACCACAGTTCAAAAGCATCAATTCTTCAGCACTCAGCTTTCTTCATAGTCCAACTCTCACATCCATACATGACTACTGGAAAAACCATAGCCTAGACTAGATGGACCTTTGTGGACAAAGTAATGTATCTGCTTTTTAATATGCTGTCTACATTGGCATAACTTTCCTTCCAAGGAGTAAGGGTCTTTTAATTTCATGGCTGCAATCACCATCTGCAGGGATTTTGTGAGCCCCCCAAAATAAAGTCAGCCACTGTTTCCACTGTTTCCCCATCTATTTCCCATGAAGTGATGGGACTGGATGCTATGATCTTAGTTTTCTGAATGTTGAGCTTTACTTTTTCACTCTCCTCTTTCACTTTCATCAAGAGGCTCTTTAGTTCTTCTTCACTTTCTGCCATAAGGGTGGTGTCATCTGCATATCTGAGGTTATTGATATTTCTCCCGGCAATCTTGATTCCAGCTTGTGCTTCCTCCAGCCCAGCATTTCTCATGATGTACTCTGCATATAAGTTAAATAAGCAGGGTGACAATATAGAGCCTTGATGTTTTCCTTTCCCTATTAGGAACCAGTCTGTTGTTTCATGTCCAGTTCTAACTGATGCTTCCTGACCTGCATATAGGTTCTCAAGAGGCAGGTCAGGTGTTCCGGTATTCCCATCTCCTGAAGAATTTTCCACAGTTTATTGTGATCCACACAGTTGAAGGCTTTGGTGTAGTCAATAAAGCAGAAATAGATGTTTCTCTGAAATTCTCTTGCTTTTCTGATGATCCAACAGATGTTGGCAATTTGATCTCTGGTTCCTCTGCCTTTTCTAAAACCAGCTTGAACATCTGGAAGTTCACTGTTCACATGTTGCTGAAGCCTGGCTTAGAGAATTTTGAGCATTACTTTACTAGTGTGTGAGATGAGTGCAATTGTGTGGTAGTTTGAGTATTCTTTGGCATTGCCTTTCTTAGGGATTGGAATGAAAACTGACCTTTTCCAGTCCTGTGGCCACTGCTGAGTTTTCCAAATTTGCTGACATATTGAGTGCAGCAGTTTCACAGCATCATCTTTTAGGATTTGTAATAGCTTAACCAGAATTCCATCACCTCCACTAGCTTTGTTCATAGTGATGCTTCCTAAGGCCCACTTGACTTCACATTCCAGGACGTCTGGCTCTAGGTGAGTGTGTGTGATCACACCATCATGATTACCTGGGTCATGAAGATCTTTTTGGACAGTTCTTCTGTGTGTTCTTGCCACCTCTTCTTAATATCTTCTGCTTCTGTTACGTCCATACCATTTCTGTCCTTTATTGAGCCCATCTTTGCATGAAATGTTCCCTTGGTACCTCTAATTTTCTTGAAGAGATCTCTAGTCTTTCCCATTCTGTTGTTTTCCTCTATTTCTTTGCATTGATTGCTGAGGAAGGCTTTCTTATCTCTCCTTGCTATTCTTTGGAACTCTGCATTCAAATGGGAATATCTTTCCTTTTCTCCTTTGCTTTTGTCTTCTCTTCTTTTCACAGCTATTTGTAAGGCCTCCTCAGACAGCAGTTTTGCTTTTTTGCATTTCTTTTCCATGGGGATGGTCTTGATTCCTGTCTCCTGTACAATGTCACGTATCTCCGTCCATAGTTCATCAGGCACTCTATCAGATCTAGTCCGTTAAATCTATTTCTCACTTACACTGTGTAGCCATAAGGGATTTGATTTAGGTCATACCTGAATGGTCTAGTGGTTTTCCCCACTTTCTTCAATTTCAGTCTGAATTTGGCAATAAGGAGTTCATGATCTGAGCCACAGTCAGCTCCCAGTCTTGTTTTTGCTGACTGTATAGAGTTTCTCCGTCTTTGGCTGCAAAGAATATAATCAGTCTGATTTTGGTGTTGGCCATCTGGTGATGTCCATGGGTAGAGTCTTCTCTTGTGTTGTTGGAAGAGCGTGTTTGCTCTGACCAGTGCGTTCTCTTGGCAGAACTCTATTAGCCTTGGCCCTGCTTCATTCTGTACTCCAAGGCCAAATTTGCCTGTTACTCCAGGTGCTTCTTGACTTCCTGGTTTTACATTCCAGTCCCCTATAATGAAAAGGACATCTTTTTGGGGTGTTAGTTCTAAATGGTCTTGTAGGTCTTCACAGAATCATTCAACTTCAGCTTCTCCAGTGTTACTGGTTGGGGCATAGACTTGGATTACTGTGATATTGAATGAATACTTTTTTCCTCACTGTACCAGCATGCTGTTAAAAAACTTTTCTACAGTATCATGAATTTACCAGTTTGGTCTTATTTTAGGTATGCTAAAGGAACATGAAATAGTAGAAGAAACTGTACCATAAAATGTTGTATCAATATATGTAAAGAAACTACTTTTATGCTGCAGTTCGAGGTCAAGTTGAGCTAGCAAAGTCTGCGCAGCCATTTTGATTGTTAATTAGTTGAAGTTCTTACAGAAGCTGCATAAGCAGATGAGCAAGCCTGATCTGTGTGGTGCATTGTTAACATGTAATACTGTGCCAGAGCTGACTGTAGTCTCTTCTAAGCTCCCAAGCTAAGCTCTTGAGACAACCTCTTTGCTCAAATCAGTGTTTACATAAATGTAGAAAGTGCTTTCACACAGTGGCAGTGCCAAGGGGTAGCTTCGGAGGAAAAGTGGGGTGTTCATGGCTTCTCACTCTTCTTTCTGTCTGTCACACAACCCAGAGATCCTTAATAAGTACACGACTGAAGTAAAAACCAGTGTTCTCTACCTGCCATACAGCCGCAAGACAACTTCTCCAGACTCCCACTCCGACCTTATAAGGAAAGTTAGTGGCTACCACTCTCTCAACCTTATTTACAATTATTTACAATTAGAGGAGCTCACATATTACACTTTTCTTGTATGACATTCCCCTGTTTATTATTTCCTTATGGTTATGCTCCCCTTGGAAAGTTTACATTTATCCCTTAAGTTTTACAAACGTTTCCAGACTAACGTCTCCACTTATAATGGTTTGCCATATGTAACGTGTGTCTAGTTTCACTTCGCGGGTGGCTCTCCTGCTTATCTTGAATCGAGCGTGAGTGTTTTGGAGTGTTCCGACTCCTTAGAGGCAGAGCAATATGGAGAAGAGGAAAATCTGAAAAGATACTGAATTAACTTCCCACATAACTTTTAAGGAGATGGAAATCTTAGCTCCTTCCTGCATTGGAAATTTTAATTTTTATTATGCATTCTATTCTAGTTTATTTACTAATCTCCAAGATGATTGCCTGCACCAGTCCTCAAGTAAGATACTTATTATAATGTGTTATTTTTTGTTTTTTAGAATTAAAAGAAGAATCTTATTGCTAATACCAAAGTGGCTCTATGAAGATATTCCTAATATGGAAAACAGTAAAGCTGTGAAAATACTTCAGGTAACCAAACACCATTAAGTATAAACTAAATGGCAGCTGAGACCAACAGCGCAGTCCAATAGTTAAAGTAGAATTTCCATTCAAATAAATAAATGTGTGTGCATATTTGCACAACTGTATAAACATATGCAGAAATAAAATTTTACATATTTCAGATCATACTTAAGAGAGATGAGAGAATGGATTAGGGGAAGAAAAAAGAGATGGAAGAGAGAAGCAATGCCATTCAAAAGAGAAGAATAAGATTGTAAGCCAGGTGCCAGAGCCACTTGGTGGCCAAATAATTGGTAGGTGTCCCCAGAGACCGAAGAAACAGGGAAGAAAATCTCAATAGAAGGAGACTCAGAGACACAAAGGGGCTTCTGTTTTACATGAGTTGGAGAAGCAGGTGGAGCCCAAGGAAGACACTACTTTGCCCCTGAGACCCAGTGGAATTCGAGAAGATGGATGTGAGGAGACTGTGGCAGATGGTGTCACCAGGGGTAGGCCGGGTCTCCATTCAGCAAAGAATAGAAGGCTGTCCCGGGAAGACCCTGAGGCAATAGGGGATCTTGCAGGTTTTGAAGGAGCAGCTGCTGATTATGGAGGAGGGGAAGAATCTGCTCTGTGTGTTCTTACACTTCCTGGCTCTCTGGCCTGGCTGTCAAGGGGCTCAAAACTCAGTTGGTTGGACAGACACATCATCTAAGCATTGAAGTGCAGCAACGTAGTATAGTGAAAGAAATGAAACCAAACCTGATGAGAGTGTAGAGGAAATATATTAAGAGATGGGAAGGAACTGCTCAGGAGAGACAGAGAACATTCAAAATAGAGAGGCTACATGAGCAAAGGTACAGAGGTGAGAACAGCCTGCTGGGTGTGGCTCTGTGGAAACATCTGATGTGAGGAGTGGCTGGAACAATGGGGGAATGCAGAGTGGTCGCACAGAGTCAGACATGACTAAAGTGACTAAGCACCACACATAGAGTGGGATCAGGGCACAGGAGGCCTTGTTATGGAACTCAGACTTCATTCTGCCAACCAACAGTTTTCAAGCTTAAATTTATTTTTAGCCTAGCGACCCTTTGTTCAAACGATGGTGAAGTAGACAAGTATTTGCAAAACAAGTAGAAGTGGCTCTATCTGGAGATCTAGTGAGCCCACTAATCAACTCCTTTCAGAGCCCCAGATAAGTCCTTAAGACAACAGTTCTCAGCCTTGATTGCATTTTAGAATCCTGATTCCCAGGCCACAATCCAGGATCTTTGGGAGGAGGGCTGACGTGGGGAGGCCCAGGTGTCAGCATCTTCAAACTTTCCCATGTGAATCCACTACACAGCCAGTGTTGAGAACACTGTTAAGGGTTTGAAAACTGCTATGAGAAATTAGCATTGTGAGGGGTGGGCAAAGTGTCATTAAGCAAGGGTCCTCGGTGCTGACTTTCTAGAGGGCTTATAAGGAGTGTAATGTGCCTATGGAATATGACAAGGAGCAGGTGACTCGTGGTCCATCCAGAGGTTCAGTTAGAAGTGAATAGAAGATAAGGAAGTGGGAATGGGCATGGAGACATCTTTTGATGAGTGTAGACTGGAAGAGAAGTAAGAAAGGGGCTATGCTGACACATGGTCAAATGCTCTCAGTACTGATGGTACTGATGCAACCTATGTATAACAATAGCTTCAGAGCAGTATGGACTCAGAATTGTATTTGTACTAAATTGGGTGGGCTTGAGAGGACTAGTAATGGGGTGGCAGAGAGGGGGCGAGGATTGATCAAGTGAGTCTATGAAGGGTTGAGGAGGAAAGGCCTACCATGAGCAGGAGGAGGGATCCTTGTCACTGGATACTTAAAGGAAAGAGTGTGGACATGGTTGACTCTAAAGGAGGTAATGTTGTACATAGTGGAGGGGTGGTCTGGAATAACTGAACCCATACATAGAATTAAGTAGTTAACAACTGGCTGAAGGGCAAGTACACAGTCAGTAAACAATAGCTGATAAATACTGTGGTCTTGATATTCATTCCACTTAGTCACTCTGTCTTGCCCCACCACAAGTTATCCTGGGGAATGGGGAACATTCTGTGACTCAGACAATTGTCCCTGACCTCACCGTGATCAGAATCTCCTCTTCCTTTGTGTCCTTCACTGTGGTCTGTCCCCTATGTACTTCTCCATTCAGCTGCCAACCTGAAGAGGGGAAAACATCCCCTTCCTTTTGGTTCCTTTGACTACATCTGATCCATGACTATATGTCTGCCCTTCCCAACACAAACCTAGCAAAGGCCCGGGGGAGGCTGAGTTGAAAAAATTTGAATGATATTTCACCCTGCTTTATTCAAGGTCTTCCTTTTGCCAAACTTCCTTCCCATCCTGAGCTCTTGGAATTAGAAATAAATTAGAAATAAACCTTAGGGTTTTCTTCAGATGAGGTTTTGCTTTCTGCCAAAAGACTAAGAGGTGGTAGTCTAGTCAGTTCAGGCTGCTCAACAGAATACCACAGACTGGGCAGCTTAAGTGGGAAGTCCAAGATCAAGCAGATGTGGTTCCTAGTGAGAGCTCTCTTACAGATGGCTGTCTTCTTGCTATATCCTCAGATGGCAGTCTGAGAGATCAGCTTTCTTGTTCTCTTCTTATGAGAACACTAATCCTATTTATGAGGGCTCTACTCTCATGACCTAATTACCTCCCAAAGGTCCCATCTCCTAATATGATCACAGGGCTTCAACATATAAATTTTGGAAGGACTCAAACATTCCATCATAGCAGGCATCTGTAATTTTTTAACTGTGTTGGGTGTGAGTTACTTGTCCTGGGAAGCCAGCCAACAGGTGAAAGGCCTTGAGCCCTTCTCTTACCAGAAAAGTCATCAGGCTTTTATACAAATAAAAACTTCCTTCACTCACCCTCCTGACTGATCACCACAGACATGTCTGAATTGTGAGCAGCTGCCCACCTTTGGAGTCACAACCCAAAGCATTTACCACAACTTTATTCTCAAATGGAAGCAAAACAGGATTCTCTGTGCCCTTTTCAGTTCAGTTCAGTCACTCAGTCATGTCTAAAACTTTGCGACCCCATGGACTGCAGCACGCCAGGCCTCCCTGTCCATTGCCAACTCTCGGAGTTTACGCAAACTCATGTCCATTGAGTTGATGATGCCATCCAACCATCTCATCCTCTGTTGTCTCCTTCTACTCCTGCCTTCAATCTTTCCCAGCATCAGGGTCTTTTCAAATGAGTCAGTTCTTCACATCAGGTGGCTTTTATTTAAGCAACAAAGTATTTTCTTCTAGTAAAGCTCTATAATATTACAAAATATTCCAAAATTTTAAAAGGCACTGAGATAATATGCAAGTTAACAAGCAAAAGGCTTCTTTCTCTTTAAAATTCATAAATAAAGACATGTGCTTAGAGCATGGATTATTTTTATTACTTCTTTCCTTCAATTCCTTCTTGAGAGAATTTAACAAACCTCTGGAATGGAGCAGAATAACAAGACAAAAGTAGAAATTCATATGGGAAGAGAAACACTATGAAGAAAAGCGAGGGGGAAAGGAAAGTTGAGGGAGAGCAAAATTCTAGTCCTTATTTATCCAGTTTGCTCCTTTAAATGTCTTTTGTAAACTAAAAGTGTCTTTCCTTCCTAGGAAAAAAATGAATTTATGAATAACAATTCCAGTGAACAGGTCCTATACGTTGATCCAGTGATTACAGAGATAGAAATCATTCTCCCAGAAGAAAAACCCATGGGCTACAAGAAAGAAAACAATACAGGATGCCTGGAGAGAAAAGAGAGCCTGGAGAAGTCACTACTCACCAACACTACAGTTGTATATATTCCTGATCTCAACACTGGGTATAAACCCCAGATTTCAAGTTTTCTCCCTGAGGGAAACCATTTCAGCAATGATGATGAAACAGCTTCCTCAACTCTGGAACTACCGGCTGACTCCTTAAACGTGGGAAACAATGCCAGGTTTAAAAAATATCCTGATTTTGCTTTCTCTGTCTCAAGTTCAAATTCACTAAGTAACACACTATTTCTTGAAGGATTAAGCCTCATTTTAAATCAAGGAGAATGCAGTCCTCTGGACATGCAAAACTCAATAGAGGGGGAAACTGCCATGCTTCTGGAAGATGCATCACTGAATGAAACTATTCCAGAACAAACCCTGCTGCCTGATGAATTTGTCTCCTGTTTGGGGAGCATGAACAAAGAGTTGCCATCTATTGATTCTTACTTTCCACAAAATATTTTGGAAAGCCACTTCAATAGGATTTCATTCTTAGAAAAGTAGATTTATGTAGTCAAAAGCTGCCTTGCAATCTGAAGAGGGCTCTCTCTCTCAACACAGATTTAATTCTGCCCAATTTTTTCTTATTAGAGAATCAAGATTCAAAGATGAAACATACTTCATGGCCACAAAAGCAGCAGAAATATTAGAGAAGACTTCTATATTTTAAAAAATGTTTCAACTCTCTCTTTTAAAAATTTTCCTTATTGCAAGGCACTAAACAGATCTCTCTGTATGAAGGATAAATAATGCAAAATACATGGTAATGAAATAAATGCTGAAAATTGTTTTTCAAAATCGAGCTATTAGTATTTGCTTACAAGAGGAAAAACACATTTAACTTTCATTTTATTACTTAGTAGATAAAAATATAGCCCACAAACAACAAAACAAGTAAGGGATGGAAACAGAGGAACAATTAATTACATGTTTACTGTGTTGTTGTTGTTTTTTTCCTACTACTTTCTATTCAGGTATTAAGAATGTGATCTTCCTTGTTTTGATTTTGAAGTGAGAGAGTTGTAAACAGTGATGTGTGGAAATCATGAGGTGGTTGTCTTCGTTCTAGTTAAGAGTGACAGCATTCTTCTGTGGTGTAGCTGATGTGCTAATTACACTGTAATAGACTTATTCAGGTAGAAGAAGCAGGATCAACAAGGTGTGATTATTTCTTTTGTATTGGATGTCTGCCAGAAAATTATTGTAAAAACAGGTGTGTTTCCAAATCTGGGATGGCAATACTTGCCACACCTGTCACTGCCCCACAGTCCATGTCTCCTATAAACACCATAAAGACATCACCACATGCCTTGCTGCTGGCCCTAAGGTGACCTTAGAATCCTCTCGACCCAGGACTCCTGATGAACACAGCCAATAAGGGCTGGGGCTGGCGGTGAGCTTTCTGCCAACCAAGTCAACACTGGAAGTGGGTAATCTTAAAAACACAAAATGCATATTTCTCAGCTGAGAAATGGTACCCAGCAGACTTTTCTATTATGGTTAATTTTTACATCAAGGGGAAATTTTTTCTAATGATCAGAGCCATTTGAAAATTGAGCAGATTACCGATTGAACTTCTCTTCCTCTTCTAACAGTTGTCAATGATAATTTATATTCAGATTAAATAGTTTAATTCTACTGTGCTGTTGCTGCTAAGTTGCTTCAGTCGTGTTCGACTCTGTGCGACCCCTTAGATGGCAGTCCACCAGGCTCTCCCGTCCCTGGGATTCTCCAGGCAAGAACACTGGAGTGGGTTGCCATTTCCTTCTCCAATGCATGAAAGTGAAAAGTGAAAGTGAAGTCACTCAGTTGTGTCCGACTCTTAGCGACCCCATGGACTGCAGCCTACCAGGCTCCTCCGTCCATGAGAATTTCCAGGTAAGAGTACTAGAGTGGGTTGCTATTGCCTTCTCCTTAATTTTACTGTACCAAAGCAGTTAATTAAAAAAGGACCAGTGTTCAGCATATTGAGCAAGCTAGTTTGTTTTGTATTGGCTTTTGAAAAAAAAAAAAAAACCCAAAGTAGTTTTGTCATTAGATGTCCCCATGAGGAGGATGACCAAATATCCTGGTTTATCCTGGCTTTTGTTAATTGTGGCCAGTGTGCCCTTTCCTTCTCAGAAGCATCCCTTTGGATGATAAATCATTTGGTCATTCGTCATTCTATTTATGAAAACTGCTAATGTCCAACATATAATTTATCACAATTCATTTTTTTTGCTTTTTTTCTTGGACAATCCTCTTTATTTTACTTTATATCACTTACTAAAGCCATTGTGCTCCAAAATGAACATTACTGTTAGTGTTAAAAAAAAATGTATCTTCTACTGTGAAATTCTATTCTATTTATCCTAAAATATGTATATATTTGTTGTATTTTATATATTCAGAAAGCTGTATATTTTAAATCACTAACAAAATGCTAATATTAAATATCTACTTGCAAATGATCATATGCTTTTGCTTTATTCTTACCTAAAGGGAGAATATAATGAAGCAAAGATGCAGGTAGTATTTGAGATAGAGATAACGAAAGACCAAGATGAATCTTTGATGTTTACCAATCTGATGAAGACATCTGTTAACAAGTGAAGAATATTTTCAAATTATATTTCAGTATAAGTGTAACCTGCCACACATCAAATAAGCTTTTGTCAGGTTTAAAGGATTGAAGCATTATTAGATCTTCTGTGTTTGCTTTCAACGCAGTCAGTGCCTCCTTTACGACATCTCCTTCTTGCCCCCCTGGAGCAGGAAGGAGCTGCTTTCTCTTGTTACAGCATCCTCCCTACACCCAAATCATATTTAGCACAGAGGAGACACTTCTAATTCCATCCATGCCACTGACCTTGTTGGTCCCAACAGACTAAAAATGGAGGCTGTACTTACAACCAAAGCAATGTGCCTGCCATTGTCCCAACTCAGAGAAAAACTTAACTGCTTCATCACCATGCAAACTTGATCAACAGAAAAGGGTTTTCTTTCTTTGATTCTTTTATTCAACAAGTTTTCACTGAAGCATTGAAGGCCCCTACTCTGTGTAAGGCATTTTGAATTAATATGCTCAGTTGCTCAGTTGTGTCCAACTCAGTTGTGTCCATGGACTGTAGCCCACCAGGCTCCTCTGTCACTGGATTTCCCAGGCAAGAATACTGGAGTGGTAGCTATTTCCTCCTCCAAAGGACCTCCCTGACCCAGGGATTGAACCCCAGTCTCCTGTATTGCAGGCAGATTCTTTATCATCTGAGCCACCAGGGAAGCCCTGCCTTCTCTGAATTGATATCGATGTTAACAAAATCAGCCAAGTCCCTGCAGCCTTGGGGCTTCTATTCTAGGAGCAAAAGGCAGAAAATCATTGCCCTTTGGGGAGCTTATATTTTGGTGGGGAAGGAGGCGATGATAGGAGGTGGAGAGAGGCAGAAAAAAATATATAGAAGAAAAATGCCAGATAATGAGTGCCACGAAGAGAGGTAAAATGGGATAATGTAGTAGAGAGGCACTTAGTGGCCACTCTGTGCTGGGCAGTCAAGGAAGGTCTCTCCTAGGAGGGAGCATTGACATGCAGTCAGAGTCACAGGTAGGCGCTGCATGTGAGAATCAGCTTGCCACTGACAGGTCCCGTTCATAGAAGAATTCTCCAGTAGTTAAAGTCTCTACTTCTTTTCCTCATGGACAAGTTGCTCCTAACTGCAGCCCTTTGCCACCCTTCCCTTCCTCAGCCAGAATTTTCTGTGGCTTTAGGGGACAAGTGTGTATCTTTTCATCTTTCCATCCAGCTCTTGGACTTATTAACTTTCTTTTTCTTGAGTCTCAAAGTCTTGCTAAGTTTCTGCTTCCTAAATGAATGTGTTAAACTTATTGGTGTGGGTTAAAGAGAAGAAGGAAGAAAGAAAGAGTGAGAAAAAGTCCCCTGGAGATACCACTGAGTGGAAAGAAGGGGAGAGAAATATAAAGAATGAAAGGTAGACTAATATGCAGGATGCTGAAGCAAAATGGAATGCCTTAGTTCTGGACAATACTGAAGCTGATAAACAGATTTCCAGTTTCCTTCTGGTCATGTATCTTCTCTGGCCCCACTTCCCTTTTCTTACATAGAAACAATGTGGGGAGGAACAACTGAAGTACAGTTTGAGGGTATCTTCTTGGTTTGTGTGTGTGTTTGTGTATGCTTTATCCTTTTTTTATTTTTTTTATCCTTTCTTTAAATTAGGAATTTGTTTTTACCAGAGTTAGAAATAATATCGATGGGACTTCCCTGGTGGTCTAGTGGTTAGGAATCCGCACTCAATGCAGGGGGCCTGCGTTAGAGCCCTGGTCAGGGAACAAGATCCCATATGCCATAACTAAGAGCCTGCACAACCAAATAAATTAAAAATGAGAGAGAGAGAGAGAGAAAGAAAAGAAACAATACTGATGTTGTAAGAGGGCTTTTGCGTTCCAGCACACGGTTCTCGGGTAACATGGGTTGTTGTTTGGCCCTCTGGGTTCAAACAACAACCCAGCTTCTTTTCTTTCCTTATATTTTCAGTCCCTTTGACAGAGGCAGCACATGACTGTGGCATAAGGCAGAGGTTTTCTTAAGTAAATTTTAGCAATTGACCCCTTTTCTCCAATGAAATCTGTTGCAAAATCCCCAAATATAAAACAAGTGAAAGCAAATCTTCTGATGAAACAGGGGGTGAAGTTCGTGCCTGTTCATTGCCTCTCCTCTGCCACTGCAGCAGCCTATCCATCCATGCACAGTGAAAATCCAAGGCCGAGGAAGCTCTAGTCCACACCTGGTGATCTGGGTCCTAGCCCAGCCCTGAGAAGCCTGTACCTCAGGATTGTACTAACCTCTCCCTCTCAGCCACAAGGCTGCTACCCAGACAAAGGGAACCAGAACTCCTTGGAGCCTCCCTACACTCTGAATGACTAAGTAAAAAGCTTCCTCTCAGAGCCTGCTAATAGAGGGGGTACTATATGCAGTAATTAACTTGTTTCTTTCCAATTATTTCATCATAAATGTCTGGATTTTTTTCAAGTTTATGTTCTCTTTGTGATCACTAAGAATAAAATATTGTGTTGTGAATATAATTAGATTTTATAAACCCAAAGACTGCTGAATTGTGCTGCAGTTTATCTCTCTATGAAATAATTATACCAATTATAGGAGGTGACGTTTTAATGGAAAACATTACCCAGTTGGCAGACATTACTGATTTAAAATAAAAGAAGTGATTAAAAACAATTTATGGATCTCTCTTGGGTAGGAGCATGAAACCAATATAAAATAATTGGATTCTGATTCCTGGAGTGGATTGTGTGTAACTTTCTTGGATGCTATAGTAAGGCAATATTATAAGAAACTTTAAGAAAGGTTTGATAGAATGTTGTTATGTCTCTTTCCCACTGCTAAGATAATACCATTAAATTCCAATTAATGTTTCATGTTAGGATTCTAGCTATTTTGGTAATTTCACTTTTCAACTTAATTTAGGATAAACACTCTGTATCTCTTGTAT